TTCTTTCTTTCTTTCTTTCTTTCTTTCTTTCTTTCTTTCTTTCTTTCTTTCTTCTTCCTTCCTTCCTTCCTTCCTTCCTTCCCTCCTTCCTTCCCTCCTTCCTTTCTTTTTTGAGGTAGGGTCTCACTATGTGGCTTTGGCTGTCCTGGAACAGCCAAGGGCTGACCTTGAACTCACAGAGATCCATTTACCTCTGTCTCGGAAGCCCTGACCATTCCTTTTTGGACCAAAATAATAAAGTAAAGGTATATATTTCCCAAGTGCTGGGATTAAAGGTATATGTCAACATGCAAGGCCATTAATTTTTTAAAATTACCTTTATTTATCATGTGTGTATGTGTGAGCACACATGTGCTATGGGATGCATAGTTATATGACAACTTGAGAGAATCACTTCTCTCCTGCTGTGAGGGTTCCAGGGCTTTCACTCAGGCCATCGGGTTTGGCAACAGACTCCTTTACCTGCTGAACCAGCTCACTGGCCCAATTTTGTTTCTTAAGAGATGTGCTTTTCACTAACCTGGGAGTTTGGAAAGCCCAGACCAAGAACTATGCTGGTGGTAGTGTCTCTGAGGCGCAGAGGGCCCTGGTTCCTCTGTCTTCTACAGCAGCATCTGTACTTCAGCAGTGGAAGGTCTGGCTGAAGAAGCAAGGTTTGGCCCAGGCAGAGCGCAGTGCCGGGACAAGCTCTTGGTTCATCCTTGCTTGTGAACAGGTGAGACACCAGCACTGTCCTGTGTCCCCGAGTCTTCATGGAATCTAGTTTCTTTTGCCCACAGCAGACTCAGACATACTTTGTTTTTGGTGCTGGGGACGGAACCCAGAGCCTCACACATGACAAGCATGTGCTGTGCTGAGCTCATTCCAGCCCCTCAGTCTTGCTTTCATGTGGGTAAGATCCCACATCCTAAGCTCTTTATCCAAGCATAATTTCATATTCTGTTAAATCACTTGGCTTTGTTCTAACGGCCTCCTGCTTGCTATAGGCACAATTATAAGGAAGCAGAACTTCCTGATAGCAAGTGCGCCCGTGTTCTAAAATAAGAGCAGATTCACTGTAAACACAGCAAAAGTCCTGAGTCTTCAATTAAGGGACTAAATCCAACCCCACAAACGCTTTTGTGAGAACTGATTGCCCCAGCTTGTGAGTCCCCTCATGAGTGTGGAGAGGCATGCAAGTTTCCAATGGGCGTGTGCAGACCCCAAAGCAGCTGGCACTGGAGCTTAAAATACCAGAGACGAGACCCTCATCCACAGGCCGCAGACTTCAGGACTGCCAGAGAGGATGGGTGGCCCCAGTGCCAGAGGCAAGTGGCCGGCAGCCTTCGGTCTGCTGCTCCTGCTGCTCTGGGGGACTGTAGCCACCGACCTTCGCCTGGAGAGTGATCCCAGTGGCCAGGACAGTGTGGTGAGTACAGCCCCAATTCTTGTACAGGCTGGGCCGCTCAGTTTGTCTCTTGGGATGCTGAGCACCCTGTGATGGGTGTGTATGGGGGGGGGGGTGTGTGACCTCAGGATACTGCAGTGTCCCATTCAGACCACTGATCTCCATTTGCCCTCACTTGTCCTAGCCTGTGTCTGTTCAGGGATGCCTCTCTGCTACTGTCAGCTTTGGCTACACACAGATTGCTTCTGGCTGTCCCAGTGCACTTGTGGATGGCTCCTACCAGTATTGGTCACACAGACTCCCAGAGCCTTAATTTATATACACAGCTATGCTTTTACTCACTCAGATTAATTCCTATCATCCGATTCTCCATGCTATAAATTTATAATTTCATCAAGTGATTTACTTTCTCTTTTTTCCATTTTGAAAAAGTTCCAAGAAAGAGTACATAAAGTTGACCATCAAAAATGGATTTTTCTCTGAGATTACCAGATGAGTTTCAGACGGGTCATTTATCATCAGAATACTCCTAGAACCTTCCTAAGGAGTTTGAAAGACCAGACGTCACATGTGGGTCTGATTTCTGAACATCCAGGAGGATGTCTGAAGATGGAAACAAGCTAAATGAGCCTAGCTGGCCAGGGCTTCTCAGCAGTCAGTCATTTTGACAGCTTTCCTAGTCGCATAGCTAAGGACCTCAGCAAAGATTATAAGGTGGAAGTAACAATTCATGTCTATGTTTTGAGACAAGCTCTCACTATATGGGCTAGGCTAGCCTCAGACTTACAGTAATCCACCTGCCTTTGCCTGTGGCGAAGGCTTGTGCTATCATGCCTGGGAAAATTAGCAGGTTTTTTTTTTTTCCTTGTCTGTTTCCCTCTGCAGAGCACTTTCTCTAGGGTTCTTCTGATTCACTTGGAAATGTGGTTTGTTAAGGAGTGGCTTGCTCTCTGTGAGGGAGGGGCAAGCATCTCCTAATGCTGAGTGAGTCTATGGTTGCTTTTCTCTCCTTTGTCTGCTTCTCAGAAAACACAGCAGGATGCCACAGATGCTGACAGGAGGGGAACCGGCCTCCTGACTTTCCTTGCCTGGTGGCATGAGTGGGCCTCCCAAGCCGGCTCCGCTGTCGGAGGGGATGCCCGGGAGGTATCCAAGCGGCAAGAAGACCCACCCCTGCAGCAGCCCCCACGCCGGGAGAAAAAGCCCTGCAAGAACTTCTTCTGGAAAACCTTCTCCTCCTGCAAGTAACTCCACCCTGTGAAATGCAACCACGGCCTGAATGGAGTGTCAAGCAGTGGGCGCTTTCTTCTTCAGTCAGCTTTTCTTCCCATGCCATGTGAAATCAGTAAATTTCAGTAATGGCCACAGCCAGCCATGACCAAGAGTAATTCAGCTCAGAACTGGAAATTCAAAGACACATACTCCTCCCCCGTCCCCCAAATAAAAATGGTGGTGATTCAGGCTGGAGTGTACTCAGCAGAACCATTGGGCTTCCTTGTCCTTCCTGGTGCTGGGAGGTAAAGGCCTTGTCTCTCAATTGAAGACAGCTAAAGGCTGTGTGTGTTTGTGTAAGAGAATGTCTGTATTAGGTCAGGCTGGCCTCAAACTATGTGGTCAAGAATGACCTTGAAACGATCCTCCTGCCTCTACTTCTCAAGTGCTGGGATTATGCCCAGCTCGACGCTGCACAGTTAAGAGTTCAAAGTAGAATCTTCAGTTTATTTTTAGCTTTTGGAGATAGGGTCTTACATGTAGTCCAGTTGGTCTTGAACTCACAACCTGTCTTCATCTCTTAAGTGCTGGGATTATAGCCGTGCACCACTATACCCAGCTGTATTCCAGTCGGTTTTTAATATGAATTGTCCAATTTAAGAAATCTGTCTTCGGAGCCAGGAACCATGGTGCACGCCTGTAATCCAGCACTCAGGGAGGCAGAGGCAGGTGGATCTCTGTGAATTCAAGGCCAGCCTGGTCTACAAAGTATGTCCAGGACAGCCAAGGCTACACAGAGAAACAAAATAAATCTCAGCAGACCTAGGCCCCCTAAAAATATGTAGCTGATGGGCAGCTTGGTCTTCATGAATCCCCTAACCAGTAGAGTGGGCGTGGGGCTGGGCTGTCTCTGGCATGGACTCTTTTGCCTGCTTGGGGATTGCTTTCCCTTACCCAGGCTGCCTTTTTGGCCTCAGTGGAAGAGGATGCTCTTTGCCCTGATGGGACTTGGGTTGGTACAGTGGGGGCTGGGGAGGGGGCTTCCCTTTTCTCAGGAAAAGGGGAGGGGGGGATTGGAAGAGACGAGGGAGGGAGCTGCAATCGGCGTATACAGTGAATAAATAATTTTTAAAACTAAAAATACAAAATTTCTCCAGGCTTAGGGTCAGCAGAGTGCTGGCCTGGCAGCCATGAGGCCCTGAGTTTGAGCCTCAGCACTGTGACCTTCACAAGCAAGTTAGCAACACTGCTCTTGAGCTCTGTTTATTCCTCATATTTTAGCTAAAGCTAATTTTAAAACTAATGTTGTGCTATTAAGCCAGCACCATGCTGAAATGCTTATAAAAGTTATATTCAAATTCCTTATACATTCCTTATACTATTCCTTAAATAGTTTTAATTAGTAGTATTAATTTGTTGCAATTATTTTCCCTGGTCGTAGCTTCAGTTTTACTCGGTGAAGAAAGACATCTACCGACAAAGCGCCACACTGGGCAGTGCTCCCGTCCAGCCTGAGGTCCACTCCACTTGCTTTCGGAGTCGGGGAGTCACTGTTCAGCCTTCGCTGGCCTGCAGCTTGGTATGCAGACCAGGCTGGCCTCCAATTCACGTTGATCCAGCTCTCTCTGCCTCTGTGCTGGCACTAGCGGTGTGAGCCACCATGCTTGGCCTACCTTGACTTCTAAGGCAGGTACCCCCAAAACCCAGCATCCAGACTGTCCAGCAAAAGGCTCTAGGCACAATTGTCACACTAGCTTCTCCATTCAATTGCCAGTGAATAACAGGTGAGAGATAGTTCCATTTTTTGTTACATAACAAGCAACTGCTGAGTCCATAGCTGAGCAGGATTTTGGTCTTGTCCAAGAAAGCTAGGGGGAAGTCGCTGTTTCTAAACTTAGCACATTTTGTTGTGGCTTTTGTTTGTTTTTTTTTTTTTGTTTTTTTTTTTTTGAGAAAGGGTTTCTCTGTGTAGTCCTGGACTCGCTTTGTAGACCAGGCTGGCCTTGAACTGGCAGAAATCAGCCTGCCTCTGCTTCTCAGAGTGCTGGGATTATAGATGTGTGTGGCCAAGCCCTGCTAAAGTTAGCACATTTTAATTCATAGCACTGAAATTCTTTCTGGCTAAACACACTTAACTGTTGAGCCATAGGCACTGAGAGGAACACCAAATGTGAAGGTTCTAGATGCTAAACTTTTTGTAGTCTCAGCGTGCAGGAGACATGAGGACAACTGCAGGCATCCGGTTCTCTCATCCACAGTATTAGTTCTGGGGATCAAACTCAAGTCATCAGGCTTGGGAGCAACAGCCTTTACCCACTGAGTCATCTTACAGGCTATCAAGAAGGGTGTGGTAGGTGTGTCAGGGAAACCCTGCTTCTCAGGTCTCAGTCCACAATCTGCCATGACTGAAGACCCTGAGCTCATCGTAAATGGAGGACTCCCTTTGTCTATAAGGCTTCCTCTTCTCTGCTGGGGGATCTCGAATCCCCACACCCTCTGCCTGAGGAATGCCATGTAGTCCTTTGGGAAATTACAGGTCTGACTCCCTTTCTCCTGATAAGAATCCGTTCAGCAAGCACCTGGGACTCCTGGAAAGCCTCTTCGTGTATACGGGGCACCTCAGCACCTTAGCCCTTCAGCCAGTGACCTTTGCCCACCCTGGCTATTCCTACCCCCTCCCAAAATTCTATGTAACCCTCGTTCACCCTGAATAAACTTGAGCTGCCTCCCCGAAGCTGGCCCTGGAAGGTCATTTCCGTTTGTGCTCACAGCCCACCAAATCCTCCGTTTGTCGTTTCTGCTTCCTTGTTCTGAGGACTGTTTGCCAACAACCCCAGGAATGAGGGAGAGCCACAAGGTGTGTGGTTTAGGGCTGTAATCCAGCCCTCAGAAGGTTAAGAGGATTTCTGTGAGTTCAAGAACAGCTTGGGCTGCCTAGTTCAGAGTGAGAGCCTATCTTCTCCCTCTTCAAAAGCCTCTGACAGTAGGTTGAGGGCCACTGCAGCGGGTGGACTGTCAGTGTGTGGAGAGAGACGGGGACTCGACTCCCTCCATGCTAAACTCAAAGTTGACAGATGGGTATTTAGAATTCCATGCGTTTCTGACACTCAGGCCTACACTGGGCAAGTACCCATGGCTAGCTGGAGATGCCCAAGTTTCATCCTTTTCTCTGGACACTGGGGGATGCTTCCAACTGTGACTGCTGACGTGGTTCTGGCGTCCGCAGAGCTGAGCTCAGTCTTAGTTACTAAGCCTACAGCGACGATGGAAGACATCCCACTTCCCGCACAGCAGCCTCAGGGGCAGTTCTGGGGGCTGCACTGGTGGAAGATACCTGACTGAAAGGCCAGACAGTCGCCAGAAATCGGTCTTTGAGATTTTTTTCTTAAATCTATTTTATTTACGTTTCTTATACCTCTTTCTCTCTTTTCCACCCCAGTCTCTTCCAACACCCCAATATCAGGTACAAGATTAGTGAGAGAGGGCAGAGTTCTCTTTAGTCACTTGCTGCTGTTTAGGGTCATCAGGTTCCTTGGGGAAAGTCCAATCCTTTGAGGATATCTCCAACTTCTTGTCAAACTGCAACAACAGCAAACAGGAGCAGCAGGGGGGAAGAACCAGCAGCATTCTTCCTTGGAGCCCCCTTCTCTCTCTCTGGGCCCTACCATTTATTCCCTCTTCAGAGTCCTTAGATTTAAACTATCTGCAGCTGGCAGAGTCCCTCTTTGAGCCTGCACAAGGCAAATATTTTGCTACTGTGGACAATCTGATTCAGTCCCACATCCTACACCTGTGATCAAAAACATGTTTACATCCACAATACTGTCCAAAAGACTGGACTTCACTTTAACTATGTTCCATTGGAGGACTTTATTGCTAATGATCCTTGTAGTCAGGTGCAAATTTTTCCTCCTGGCTCCAAGTTCTCAGAATAATGACTCATGAGACTCAAAATATATTTACAAATACCTAGGCTATATAGTTAGGCTCTTTTCTGACTAGCTAATAACTTAAAATAACCCATTTATATTAATCTGCATTCTGCCACAAGGCTGGTTACCTCTGCTCGGGTACCATGAATCTGTCCTTATATCTTCCCAAACAACTCTCTTGTGCCTGGCTCTATCCCACAATGGCCAGTGTCAACAAGACAGATGTGATTCATTCATTCTAATTCCAGTATTTGGCATCAGGTGTTTAAGTGCTGAGGAGGAACTGACTCTAGCCATCTATAAAGTTCTCCATGGGATTGGTATTTCGGGGCTAACAGCAGAGGATGCCAGACTTTGGAGCCTTGGGCCAGGAAACTCATGGGATACACTTACACAACTTGCTGGTGGCACATTCCACATTTTTTTTTTTTTTACTTTTATCTGCATTTATTTTATACTGAATTTATTATTCCCCTGACATTAGCTTTTGTTTCTTTAGTTTCTTCTGAGTTACTTTTTTCTTCTGTGCAACCTCCTCTTCTGACTTTGGAACAATTTGTTCCTTTTCAGTGAGGATCATCTCAATGTGGCAGGGAGAGCTCATGTATGGGTTAATCCGGCCATGAGCTCTGTAGGTTTGATGGTGCATCTTAGGTGCCTTGTTCACCTGGATATGTTCAATGACTAGAGAATCTACATCTAAACCCTTAAGTTCAGCATTACTTTCTGCATTTTTAAGCATGTGCAGCAAAAATTCAGCCCTTTTTCACCTCGACTGAGTTCAGCCCCACTGTTTGGCCTTGGCACACCTCCCAGCTCCAACATTATAATGCTGGAATGGCACACACTGCTTCCTTATTTATTTTTTTAAAAAGATTTATTTATTATTTATATAGCATTCTGCCTGTGTGAGTGCGTGCACACCAGAAAAAGGGCACCAGATCTTACTATAGATGGCTGTGAGCCACCATGTGGTTGCTGGGAATTGAACTCAGGACCTTTGGAAGAGCAGACAGTGCTTTTAATCTCTGAGCCATCTCTTCAGCCCCTCACATTGCTTCTTTAAAGTGACATCTTTCTTTCAGATATTTGGCTTTTCTGATATGCATTCCCTTGACGCTTGGGCAGTTTCTCAGGTGTTCTTAAAGTGAACATGAAGATTTTAACCTCTTGAGTTGCATGATTTCATAGGGTTTTCTGGGTCAAGAGAGTAGCGAACTATTTTCACGTTTCAGGAAGAGCCACATTCCACATCTTAAGGAGTAGTTTTGAAGAGGAACAGGTTCTATGTGAACAAACCAGGAAAGAACCATCTAGTTATTTAATAGAAGGAAATAC